TTTCCCTTTCTGCCCTCTCTGACTATTTTTATGAGGGCTCTGCTTGCCCACACATCCTTTGGTAAACCTTTCTCCACAGAGTTTGGGTTTGAGTTTACTCTCCTGGTTCTTGTCATCAGGAGTAACCTTGCTGATGAGGCTACTGTGCAGATGCTCTACAAGCTCTCCCTAGCCCAACAGGTAGCCAGGTGCAATGCTTGTCAAGCTGAAGGGAAGGGATGTGATCACTACTGTGCCAGCATGTAAGGGGGATGTTCTGTAAGGGAAGAAAGAGGCAATTGCCTGGCCCTTTAATTCCTTTGGAGAGTCTTCTGCAGGACTCTTTTGCAGTGATATATGGACTGATGCGCACCCCTGTATTTTCCCCTCTCCTCACATACTGTTTTTGCATTGGTGTTCAGATCAGTAGTGCGAAAACTGTTCTTTAGCTCAGATCCCCATCTAGGATAAACCTCTTTAATAGCATTTAACTCTTTGTTAAGGGTAGAGGCTAGAAAGCTGAATAGGAAGGGAAACAGACCTCTGTCTTTCTGACGGTAAACTCTTCAGGGCAAGGGCCCTGACTTCCTTTGTGTGGGGAATACAGGTTTGGTGATCTGGAAATAAGCTAGAGGAGGGAATGTTGCTTTAGGATGGGGACAGGCACATAACACAAAAAACCTACTGATTCTTACAGTGCTGTGGATTTTCATTTGTATACAGTACTCTAATTATCTCTTCTAATGGCTCTTTCATACTCTGTGTGTGGGCGTGATTTTTTCTCACCAAAAGTAAATGACAGAATCAATGCCCTCCCTGGAATGATATGGCATTTTGAGGTGCATAAAGATTATAAAATTTCCCCAGTGTTGTTTAGTATTTGTATTACTCTAATGCCTAAATACCTTAGTTGTGGACCAGGGCCCTGTTGTGCTAGGTGTTGTTCACACATAGAGCAAGAAGACTGCCCATGCCCGTGCCCCAGGGAATTTACAGTGCAATGATATGTGTACTTTGGTTGTCCTTATAACTTCCAGTCATACTGACATTGCCTTGTCCTTTTCAGATATATCATATTCTTCTAGTTGCAGCTATGCTACAGCAAGTATCAAATTATGAAGTGTATTTCATCCCTTAAGAACTGGTACATCTCACTAGTTCTTATCCCTGATCCAAAGGATGCAAATGTTGACACTGCAGTTTTAACATTTAGAAATTACTCTCCTGGGTAACAGAGAGGAACTGGTCAGAGACACACCAACCAGAAGTTTTACCTACTGAGTTAGAGAAAAGAAGAGGCAAGTGGAAGCAGTTTTGGGCTAAGAGTTTGCTATGGTAACTAATGGAACAGATGTAATACATGAATTATGGTAACATTTATTGCAAGGAGAAAATATAAATCAAAAGGCAGTGTAGTGCTTGATTTGGCTAATGGGAACAGATTCTGAATGGAAGCATTTCTGAGCTCTGCATTCTTTCACATCATGATGCTGGCAGTAGATTCCTAAGAATTTATCTATTTACTTGTTCAAAGTGTCCCTGCAAGGAGAGTTCCAGAGGAAGCTCTATAAGGAGTTGCTGAAGAATTACAATCCTCTGGAGAGGCCCGTGGCCAATGATTCCCAGCCGCTTACTGTCTACTTCACTCTCAGCCTCATGCAGATCATGGATGTGGTAAGTCTTTAACATTACATGATGCTACTTCTTTAAAAGGCTGAACATTACTGCACCTAATCAACTTAGCAATGGTACTATGAGTGTGATGGGTGGATGGTAGAGCTTTTTAAAGAAATCACAGGTAACCAAAGAGACAGTTCATAGCGAAGTTTTGTCTTATTAATTTTAAAAAAATAAAACAAGACTTTAGTTGAGTCAAATGAAAGTCTTTCTGAGATATGCTCAACCTCCTAGATATTCACAAACTTACCAATTCTCAGAATAGATAGTTTTCAAAGAAAAAGCCAAAGTCCTTGCTTTCTCATAATACTTAATTATACTTTGATTCAACATGCAAGTGCTGTCTTTTGAAAAAGATAGGAAACAAAGATCCTGATTACAGTGGCTGTTCATGAACTCATGGCACCTTTTTCTGGAGGTGGGGTATTCTGGTAAATCTCACCTTAGATTATTGTATTTTACATAGCTTCAGTATCTTGTTTTAAATAATCTATTATTTGTGTCTTATGCTAAACTTTTTTGTACCCATGTGCTATTAATTAGTTCCTGTGTTTCACACCATAACTCGTCACATATCAACAGTGAATGAAGTGATTTCTGTGCAGAATTTTTTATATTTGCATTTGTGAAATGCCAAAACTGCTGTGAAAAAACCCCTATGAATGGCTAGAATGTACTATAAGAGTTCACAGATATGTGATAGTAGGTGGTTATACTATATTGTTTACTACTTCATTCATTTTTATTAGATTTAAAGTAATTTAGTAAATTAGTTATTTAAAAAAACTAATAGTTAATTTCCAAATGTCATAATGTCTCCAACAGATGTTTAAACTAGTAAAAAACATTAGGAGCAGCAGAATAAATAAATGGATGGGATTGTACAAGACAGCTTGATTTTTTTCCCTTAGAAGCTGCTGATTGGCAAAAGCTGGTCACTGTTGATGAGACTGTCATAAGATCAGTACACAGAAAGCTGTGCAGGCTTAAATGTTCATAGTTTCCAATAAATACAGGTTAGACCTCCCTGGTTTAGCACCCTCAAGGCCTGAGTGGTCCGGAAAGAGGGATTTTGCCCAACCAGAGGAGGTAATTACTAGGCCTCCTGCCACCAGCCCCTCCTGCCCAGCTCTGCTCTTGGCCAGGCTTCTCGTCTGGCTCCCCACCTGCCATCAGCTCCGCTCCCCTGCCATGGCAGCCCATGGTCCTGCCACTGGGGCTCCTGGCCTCACTGCAGCAGACCGCTGCCCTGCCCCCATTGTTCCCCACTCTGCCATGGCAGACCACTGCCCCATCCAGAGCCCGCTGGAATTCCAGCCACTCTGCCACAGCTCAGCTCTACTCCCATGGCAGGGCTCCCAACCACTGGCCTCCCTGTAGTCAGCCTGGCTGGGTTCCTGGCTCCCACAGGTCTCCTGTGTCTAGCCCTCCATCAGGTCTCTCTCGAGGTCCTGCTGGACCACAGATGTTGACAGACCAGGGAGTCCTGGTTGAGAGAGGCCAGACACAGGAGCCCGTTTAATTTTTAGGCTGCAAGTTTTACATCTCCATGACCTAAATGGGAATCATGATGGGTATTTTTAGTTTGAGATTTATTATTCACTGACATGAGTGTAGTGAGCAGTAGGCAATGGTTTGTGTCTGTGCAATTAAGGCCAGCAGGTAAACCTATCACTTATATTCTAGCTGTGGCTGTTGTCATAATAGTTTGAATGCATGATCAGTAAGAACGTAATGATGCCTGTACTGGGTCAAACCAATGGTCCTTCTAGCTCAGTTTCCTGTCTTCCAGCAGTGGCTGGTATCAGGGGCTTCAGAGGGAAATAACAGAATAGGGATGTTTATTGAATGATCCATCCTGTCGTCCAGTCCCAGCATCTAGCAGTCAAGTTTAGGGACACGAGTGTAGGGTTCTAAGCTTGACCATCTGGGTTTCTGACAATTGATGGACATAGTCTCCATGAACTTACCTAGGATGGATGTGTTACATAGGCTGGAATAGGCAATTTGAAGAGGCACTGGCATGGTGCAAGGTTTAATCAGACTGTGGCTGCACCTTCATGGGCACATAGTAGAGCAGTGGTCTCCAACCTTTTTAAGCCCAAGATCACTTTTTTAATTTAAGTCAGTCCAGGATCTACCTCAAACCCAAATACCCTGACCCCACCCCTTTGCCAAGGCCTTGCCCACCTCACTCTGGGAAGATGGGGTACAGGGAGACAGAGTGACATCAGTGCCCCTGTGCCTCTGTCTCCCCCACACTGCACAACAAGCAGGAGACTCCCAGGGGGCAGTTCTGAGGCTCTGGGTAGAAACAGCAGGGCAGTACAGGGAGGGGCAGCTGAAGTGTCCCAGCCAAACTAGTCAGGATCACCTGTCAGAGGCTCCAAGATCTACCAGTAGATTCTGATCTACTGGTTGGTGACCACTGTAGTAGAGAGAGGTCAACTATGTTATGGCTCAGAAGCAGTGTTCCCTCTAATTTCTTACGTCCATGTATGAATGACACGTTTTAGTTATGTGTACTGATAGGCAGGTGATACATCACTTACGTATTGGTGCACATAACAAAAGTCATTCTGCACAGGGACAGTATGTGGCAGGGGTGAGGGTGAGGAGTTCACAGTGTAGGAGGGGGCTCAGGGTTGAGGCAGAGATTTGGGTTGCATGGTAAGGCCTTTGGCTAGGGATGCAGGCTTTGGGATGGGCCTGAGGATGAAGGGTTTGGGGTGCAGGCTACCCTGGGAAGAGAGGACTACTCCCAGTCCTTTCTCACTGTAGCAGCTTGGGGCCAAGTGAGAGGTGCTTCTCCACTGTCCCGGGAGTCTGTCCTCCCCAAACTGAGGCAGGGCTGTGGCAGCTCCCAGCTGGGGCCAGTGGGCAGAGGCACCTCCCCCCAGCCACGGCAGCTCCACAGCAGCCCCAGGTTGGGGCAAGTGGGCAGAGGCACCTCTCCTGTGGCCATGGCATCTCTGGGGCTGAGGATTGACAGGCAGAGGTGCCGCTCCTGCAGCTGTGGCAGGTTTGGAATTTTGTGGGAGTAGTTTTTTCCCTGCACGGGGCTTAATAGGTAGCAGTGCAGCCACACGGCTGTGCAGCTTAGAGGGAACTTAGGTCAGAACCATATGCATAGCAGTAGACTAATGGAGATGGTACTAGCTTCCCTGTTGGATAGAATACACAGGTTGATGGTGGTAGTAACAGCAACAGGTTTTTTTACAGTAATGCCTAAGGAATGACCATGAATAGGGATCCATTTTGCTTGTTGCGGTACAAATCCAGAGTTAGACTGACTGCCCCAAGGAGCTCACAGTCTAGATCAAACTTCCATCCCATCACTTAATTTCATCTGGCCTGCAGCAAATTTTCACGCTGTGGGCCAGAAGCCCTTGTATGCCCTTGCAGCCTATTGGCACAGGGGAAATCAGGGAAGGTCGGCTCTGCATGCTGCTCCTGCCCTCTCTGCAGCTCCCATTGGCCAGGAGTTGCAGCCAGGGGGAGCTATGGAGATGGTGCCTGAGGGCACAGGCAGCAGGCACTGTGCAGAGCTGCCCATTCCTCTTCCTGGGGGATGAACATGAAGGCTGCTTCTGGGAGCAGTGTGGGGTCTGGGCAATCAGGGATCCTCTCATACATCCCAAATCCCTCATCTCCCCGACCCTCAGGCATGCACACTAAAGCTGTGAGGGAAGTTTTGAGCCTCTGCTCCCTCCTACCTCGCACGGCTGGATGTGGCCCATGGTTGATGTTTCGCTCTGTCACTGGCCCCTGATAGAAAAATGGTTCTGAACCCCTTGTCTAAATGAATGAGACAAGCAGAATGAACAATGTGATAGCCACAGATATGTTCTGCATTTTTGTGCATTTTTTCGATCGACTAGTTGATTAGTCAGTAAGAAGGAGAGCTGCAGCGGGGTTAGCTCCTGGTCCCAGCAAGCTAACTCCGCTGCAGCTCTGCCTTTTAAAGGCTGAAGAGCAGCAGAGGGAACCTGGCCCGAGCTGGGAATCAGCTAGCCCACCTCACGTTGGGTCCCCTCCTCAGCGCTTCTGATTTTTAAATGTATAAGAGTCCATGGGCTCTTAGTATGTTTAAAGGGCTGGTGCTCAGTGGGAGTGACCTGACACAAGCTAGGCCAGCTGATTCCTGGAGGCTCTTAATACATTTAAAGGGCTAAAGCGCAGCAAGGGGGACCCAGACTGAGCCGGGAATCAATTGGCCCAGCTCGTGCTGGGTTCCCCCTCCTGTGCTTCTGATTTTTAAATGGATTAAGAGCCTCCTGGCTGATTCCCGGCTCATGACTTGTTCCTTGCTACTCCCCTGCCCTTTATGGGGATGGTGTTGGGGGGAACCGGCTTTTAAAACAGCTCCCCCAGCACCGGCTCCTGGGGGAGCAAGGCAGGGGAAGCGACTGGTCGAAGAACTAATCGACTATCTGATAAGCTTTTGTTTTACAGGATCTTTCAAAAAAACCTTCCCTTTTCAAAAGAACCACGTCTAGACTGCGGTTTTACTTTCGAAATAGCGCTTTTTCAAAAGAGCGCCATGATGCGATTATGCAAATGAAGCACAGAAAATTCAAATCCCGGCTTCATTTGCAATTTTGAAGTGCCTAATTTACATCCCTCTGTCCAAAGAGGGATGTAGTCTAGACACACCCGTAGTGTGGATGCTAACCGTGTTATTTCGAAATAAGGGGAGATTTTTCAAAATAACTTTCCAGTGTAGACATGGCCTATGTGTGTACACTAGAACGGGTTCGTCAGTACAGGCAGTCCCCGGGTTACGTACAAGATAGGGACTGTAGGTTTGTTCTTAAGTTGAATCTGTATGTAAGTTGGAACTGGCGTCCAGATTCAGCCGCTGCTGAAACTGACCAGCGGCTGACT